TCATTGCACTTTGTTGCTGGGTCTCTTCAACTCTTTTAATTCCCCTAAATTTTTGAATTTTTAATGACATTGACATTTCATAGAATCCAGGCTGGTTGTTTTGTAGAAAATTTTACATTGTTTCCTTTGCGTGGCTTTTTTTTTTTTTTTTTTTGGTATTTTTTTTTTATTGTGGCAAAATATACATAACAAAATTTGCTATTTTAAACTATTTTTAAGTATGCAATTCGGTGGCATTAAGTACATTGGCATGTTGTACAACCATCACCATTATCTTTTTCCAGAACTTTTTCATCATCCCAAACAGAAACTCTGAACCAATAAACAACCCCATATTTTCCCTTCTTCCAGATCCTGGTAACTTCTACTTTCTGTCTCTCTGAATTTTCCTATTTTAGGTACCTCATCAAGTGGAATCATACAATATTTGCCCTTTTATGTTTGGCTTATTTCAAATCCTAAACAGGCTGATACACATCAAAATTAATGTTTCCTCAGGACCGCTGTCGGTGAACATCAGACAGATAACAGTAGTGGAGATAGGTCTGTTATTCTGATAAAGGTCAGGGTCTATGTTGCCTCCCTTGAATCTAGGTGAGCTCTATGACAGCTTCGACCAACAGACTAGGATGAAAATGATGCTGTGCCAGTTTCTGGTCTGGCCTTAAGAGAATGGCAGCTTCCAAAACCTGTCTCTATGGAGTCTGAGCTGCCATGTAAAAAGTTCAACTACTCTGATGGAGAGATTATGTGGAGAGGCTTTGAGACTACACCGAGAGAGGGCCAGCTGAACCCAGGATGGTCTTTCAGCCATTCTCAACAAGGGCCGGGCACATAAGAAGGCTGTGTTGGACCCTGCACACTAGTTTAGCGGCCAGTCAGAACGCTACCAACTGACTCTGGTTGATTGCATATGGAAAAGAAGATCACCCAGCTGAGTTCTGGCTAAATTCCTGACTCAAAAGTTGTGAGATATAATACAGTGGTTGTTTTAAGCCACAGATTTTGAATGTTGCCAAATGATACTGATTTGTTGGGGAAAATATATGAACAATAATAGTATTCATCTGGAAAAGATGTCTGTGGGTAAATTGAAGATAATGTACTCAGGAGACTGGAAATGCTTTGCTCTGAAGACAGCAATAGTTACTTAAAAGTGTGCATTTATTCCACTTCCTGCTACTGGAAATTTAGACAAAACTGTAAAAATGACTAATAATCTCTATTCAGGGCCATGTAGGCATAAAGTGACCCACATGCTTCTTACAGCAATGACTACATTGCTATAGACAGCTTTTTAAAATTAATTAATTATTATGGTAATTTACACATAAAATTTACCATCTTAATTATTCTGAGTATACTGTTTAGTGTACATTTGACAATGGTGTTAAGTATGTTTACATTGTTGCAAATCAGATTTTCAGAATCTTTTTATCTTGCAGAATTAAAACTCCATTAAACCACAATTCCCTTTTGCCTCCTATCTCCAGCCCCTGGTAACCACTATTCTATTGTCTATATTTACAAATCTGACTACTTTAGATACCTCATATAGGTAGAATCATACATTATTTCTCTTTTTGTGACTTATTTCACCTAGCATAATGTCCTCAAGTTTCATCCATGTTGTAGCACATGACACGATTACCTTCTTTGTTAAGGCTGCATAGTATTCCAACGTATGTATATACCACATTTTATTTTCCATTCATCCTTTGATGGTCATTGGGTTTCTTCCAACTCTTGGATATTATGCATAGTGCTGCTATGAACAATGGTGTGCAAATATCTCTTTGAGACTCTGCTACCATTTCTTTTGAACATGTACTCAGAAGTGGGATTGCTGAATTATATGGTAGTTCTATTTTTAATTTTTTGAGGAAATTCCATACTGTTTTCCATAGTGGTTGCACCATTTTAAAATCCTACCAACAAGGATTGCTTTTGGAATTTCAATTGTCAGTATGTAATAAGATACTGTCCTAAGTTCAATAGAGAATATCAACGGAAATAAAACCAAGACCACTGTATTTCAGATATGTCAATCGGGAGAGTTTAAATTGATAACTGTTACAAAACATTGATCATACATCCATTATGTTTTTTCTTAATGGAAATGTATAATCCAGAGGCCTTATTTTTAGATTCTTTTAGTGTAATTAGGCTGCGTTTCAATTTACATTTTGGCTTTTGTTTAGAAAAATCTGGTTATAATGTTTTTGGACTATTTTAATAGCCTTTCTTTTGTGTTAAATTTGAATGAAATATTTCAGATCTACATAAAAGAACAGAAAATAATGTAACAAATGTCTAAGTACTTACAATACAGCTTGAACAACACCATACTTTTGCCATATTATTTTAAGTCTGTCACCACAAATAGTGCAGGAAAAATCTACAATAAACATTTCCACTCCTGCTGACAGTGACAGCAAGCATAAATGCATAAAATCAAAGAAAAAAAATTAGTGAGTAAATGAATTTATACTTGGCTACCTAATGCTCTTCCTGTAATTTGAGAGGAACATGGCCCAGAAGTTAAAATCATGGGCTCTGAAGTCATTAAAAACTTGATTCAAGTCCTAAGTTTGCTTCTTGCTAGTTGTGTGGCCTCAAGCAAGTTATTTCACCTATTCCTGCCTCAGTTTCCTCATCTGTAAAATGGAGATGATCATACTTCCAAGGTGTTTGAAAGGATTAAAAGAAAAATATGAGCTCTTATGTATTTACTACATACAGCCAGTGACACATAGTAAAGCTTCAACAAATATTAGTAGTTATTTGTTTTATTTATTGAGCACCTACTATATGCCAATAATTCTTCTAATGCTGAGAATTCAGCATTGAACAAGAGAGATAAAGACCAACATGGAGCTGACTTTCTAGTGACAGACAGTAAACAACCAAAACAATTTCAGATAGAGATAGAGACTATAAAGGTCTAGGAAGGGGTGTGGAAGCTATTTTAGACAGGAGACAGGAGATCATGGGAGGCCTGCGTGAAGCCTTCAGAAGTGAAATTTCACTGAGAGTAACAGAAGGAACCATTCATTGGGAGGTTGGGGAAGAGTGTTTGAAAGAGAGGGAACAGTATGTGCTTAGGTTCTGTAGAAGAAAGAGAGACAGGATGGCTGGAAATCAGTATGTGAGGGGAAGGGAGGTTGGGCATGACATTTGAGTTAGGAAGGACAATCCAAGAAGAGCCTTGTGGGCCATAATAAAAAGCTTGGACTTTATTCTCAAGGGACTGTGAAGACATTGCAGGGTTTTTATTGCTACTAGGTACAGCACTGTTTGCTCTGAGGAGGAATTTGTGGGCCTTCCTGTAGCCCTGTTTTAGAATTATGAGTATGTACATGCTTCAGGAGTAATTTCTGGGGATACCACATTGGTTACTCGTGTGCACCCCCTAGTGGAGTTGGTGGCTCAGCTTGCATGGTTTCAGACCAGCAAAAGCAAAATTAATAAGCAATTTATCCTTTCGTTCAACAAATATTGGGCACCTGCAAGTGTCAGGCTCTGTTCTGGAACTGAAATATATCCACGAACAAAATAAACATGTGTGCCTTCTTGGCGCTTGCATTCTAGGGTGTGTGGGTGTGGGGAAAGAGACATTAAACCAAATTCTCTAGCAAATTGTTGGATGAAGTTAATGTTATAAGAGAAAAATTAAGAGGGGAACTGGGTTAGGAGGTGCAGGGAGGATGGTGGTGCTTCGATTTTAAATATAGTGTCAGGGAAGAGCTCATTGAGAGGGTGATACTTGAACAAAGATGTAAAGGAGGCGACAGGGTGACCGATGCTATTACTTGGGGGAAGAGCATTCTAGGCAGAGGGGTCAGCAAACACAAAGTCCCCAGCAAACACAAATGTGCAGGGTTTGATTAACAGCAAACAGACCGATGTGCCTTGAATAGAAAGATAATGGAGAGACTATGAAATGAAGTTAGTTGTGCTGGGGATGGGGGGAGTGGTCAAATCTTGAAGGTCCTGTAGGCCAATGTAAGAATTTTAGTTTTCAGTTTGAAACAGGAATCCATTGGAGGAGAAACATGATCTGATTAAGGTTTTAACAGAAGCCCACTGCTGCTGTGTTACTAGATTATGGGAGATCGAGGGTGTAAAAAGGGCAAACAGTCTCACATTGACTGAGGCAGTAGACGGTCCCATTCTGGACAGATTTTGAAGGCAGATCCTGTAGGACTTGCTGATGAATTAGCTGTGGGGTGTGAGAAAGAGGAGTCAAAAGTCTTACTTAGTACAAAAATATTACTTAGTAAACTGTTGCCATAGGAAGAGGTGATCAAAGACTACAGGCAAAAATTTACAAATTTTTCAGCAGTGTATCAAGCAGTTAATTAGTCATGTGTAATTTTTCTGGATTTTGTGTTATTTGTGAAACTTTTAAAAACTTGTAATTGTGAATTTTCTTAAAGAGGACCCCCAAACTGAATAAATTTCAGACTCCCACAAACCTGAATGTAATCCTGTTTCCTGCCCATATCTGGGTAGTAACTTGAAGTTAACGAAGAACTTAAAATTTTCATTTCTGATGACATTACATAAAGTATGCACGAAATAGAAGTTAATTGTAAGCTCAATACTATATTAGTTATAAACTAATATTGAGGATAAAAACATATTGGGCTAGTCTCCCCCCAAGGGTCTTCCAAAACTTCCCACCTATTCTTTCTTCCATAGTTTTTCTAAATCTACCGAATGCATCCAGCATTTCTCCTCTCCTTTAGAGAAGCAGGGATTACATTCATTTTAAAAGACCTTCTAGAAAAATGAGTGCTTTAGACCTTTTTACCGGGGCTGCTAGTGGCTCAGAGGAACCAGTGCCAGAGAGAAGCAAGAACCAGCCTATCCGCGCGAGGCATCACCGAGACGCCAAGAGGGGCGTAACCAGGGGCGGGGCGCCCCGGGCGGGTGGAGTGGGCGGGATCTAGACGCTTCTCCCGCCCGCCTCGTGAGGCCTAACACATGCGCCCAGGGGCTTCTAGTGGAACGAGTTGTGGATTGTGAGGTGACTCTGGCCGGTGACTTCCGGTTCCTAGGGATGCGCATCCGGGTTACGCTAACGCCGCGGTTTCCTCCACCCGCTTGGTTCTACTGTGGGTCTGGACCGGTCCCCATGTCCTGCTGTTGAGCCTCTGCAGCCTTTGGGTGAGTCTCTGCCACCGACAGAGTCTGAGTGCGGCCCGACGAGTACAGCCCGTAGGGAGACAGGTCCAGAGTTCTGTGTCTGTCCCTGTGGGAGGGGGTTCTCTTTCCTTGTCCCTTGTCCCTGCAGTGCCTTCCCTCACTTCAGCTCTTTGCCTCACGCTGGCCTCGCCTCTTTCCCCTCAGCTTAGCCTTTCTCGTCTCCTCGCACCGCTCGTCTCGCTGTTTTTTCTTAGCCTCGCTCGCCACTTACAAAGCCCCGGCTTCTCGTCTTTTGCCCCAGCCTTTCTGTCAGCCACTGCCTCTCCGATTTCTCCCTACTCTCACGTTAGCACCTCTTTTCCCCCACCACTGGTTCCGGATCTCGCTGTTCTTTCACCCAGCAGGACGACCCACCGCCTCCACTGCGAAACAGGGTCCTAGGGTCCTCGTCCCCCAACTTCTCTCATCTTGGACCCCTCCCGGGACTAGTAGATGACATTTGTGCTTCGCCTGGAGTTCTCCCGCCTTTTCTTAGCTCGTGGAGGGCTGTGCAAGCCCCAGTGTAGGCAGATATACCCGGCCTGGGGGAAGTTTTGCCTTGAGGTCTGGGTCGGACTGACCTTTGGTAGCTTCCGTAGTTAGGGAACAACAAAGGCGTTCCAAGTTCTTTGCTCGAGCACAGTTTTGGGGGCTCTCTGTAGAACAGGCTAACAAGTGGCAGGCACACGGAACTACTAGAGATTGGGTTCGTGTGCTCTTGTTAATTGACAGGTCAAGAGGACGTCCTGTCATTTTGCTGTTCTCTATTCCAAGAGAATAGATAGAGACGTGCACAGCGGAGGCAAAAATGCGAAGTTTCGGGACGAACAGCTCTGTTTTCTGCATGAGATTTCCTTACAGGACAGTTGCTATGATAGAAGACAGAGTTTCTTGGGAGATTATTAATTAACCCCAGATTTATAAATTTATTGCCAAAAATTTTAGTGTGATGTTACTGAAATATTTTCTGCTAAAGAGTTCTCGATAGTAATTTCGAAGTACGTGTTCTTTAGTTGAACCCAGTGTGCATATGTATCTTTATCCTTGCCTCTTATACATTATTTCTTCATTTTTACTGTATTGACAAGTATTTTCTGTTTTTGTTTCTGTTTCTTCACAAGCCAGACATTACAGTACTTTATTTCTTAGAATATTTTCTAACTTTTGTTTTTTCTTTGTTTCCACCTTAGTCTTAAAACCATCTCTCTCTCTCTCTCTCTTTTTTTTTT